GTTGCCTAACCTCATTTTTTGTTTTATTATTCATATTTAATTTTACAATAATTTAATGAAAAATATTAAACATTAACAGTAAAACAAACAAATTATTGCTTATTATTGTAACGTTTTTAAACTGTTCGTAGTGTGAATAAAAACACGCACTGGTTAATTAACGAACTAAACTATTTATTTAATAACTTAACTACACTTAAAACACTATAAAACTAACTAAACACTTAACTACTAATTATTTATATATCACTACTGTTCAAGAGTCTATTTATTTGCACTTATATTTATTTATTTCTTCGCGAGTACCAAATCTCAACTGACTGCGCTGTGCTGCTCCGTTTCTTATATGCAGTGCCCAAGTCTTCTGGAACATTCCAGCGAGCTCCACACTCTCGATTGTTCGAGCGCTGACTCACCAGCGATGACTCATCGCCGATGAGTCATCATTTCGATACCCAGAGCCGTACTTGCTACATTATAAATAAATTAAACCAGTTTAGTACGTTAATTTCTTAGAAAAGGATTAATTTGTCAAAACAATACCTCTAGCGAGAAAAAATCGAACTAATTACTTGCCTCATAAAAATTTTTATCGGCCTAGGTCATAACAAGGCATTTCTTTATCGAATGTTGACAACAATAAAGTTTAAATTATAGACCGCGAACTATCCACATCCAGTACTTAAGTGAAGTTTTGTCGACTGATATTTTTTAGTTTAAAAACAATTTTTTCAACGAACTTTTTGCTTTATGAAATTTGTCTATAAGCGTAAATCTTAAATTTAAATTAGTTCGTTTGCCAGCAAGACTAATTCCGTAGTATTTTTTCCGGTTTTTCCCTTCATGTCGACTAATGGGAAATTAAAAATTCAGACGCCCCAGTTAGACGTACAGCAAGGGGGCCAGGCAAAGGTCACTCGATGCGAGGATTTAGCGCCCGGAGGCAAGACGGCCATTTTTTTTTTATTATGGCATCAAGGCCCTCTGCAGACTTATGAATAATAAAATCGGCAACAACACACGCATTTTATGTCAAATAATCTCCAGATTTGACTTTTTATGTGGAGCTGTTAAATCATTAATATTAAACTTTTTCTTTATACACAAAACGTAAATAAATCTCTTTAGAATCGGAAAATTTAATTAAAGCATCCTCATCGCAGAGCCGTAGTTATTTTATAAAATTTATTTCAAGCTTCAATTAAAGTCGCGTGCTGCACAGTTGAGAAGGGTTTCATTATTAAACTTTAATGCCATAGGATTAAAATAATTTTTCTTTTAAAGATAAATAAGGGATGATATTTAATTAATTATAATTTTAATGTTTTTGCACAATATTTTGTTATTTTTTTCTATATTAAGACAAAAATTTATTTACAAAATGGTGTTACCCCGTGATATTCATTAAAATTAAATGAGTTTGACCTACACTTTTATTGTGTTTTGATCTTTCATAATTAAGTAGATATTACAGCAATTAATTATCTTTTTAAAAGTTTTAAAAGTCTAAAACCTATCCTCCGTGACTGTTACTCTTTCTAGGTTAACCTATATGTTTTCAAATATCTGAGGTAGTAACAGCATACTAAAAATATCAGTTCACTAAGTAAATTAAACACATCCAAAGCAATCGAATCAAATATAAAATATTATTAAAAAGTGTTACAAAAATTGACTCTATCCTGTCTGTTTTTGCTTTTGCAACGGATGGCGCTTTAATCATTTTAAATAAGCAAAAACCTCTGTTTACGACATTATAGATGTATGTGATTCCTGAAGGTCAGTTAGAATTTATATGCAGATGAGAGTGTTGCTGTTTTATGATTCAAAAGTTTATGTTCATTAATTTGCTATATAAAAACCTATCCACCGTGAAGTGTAATGACTAATTTAATAGTTATTAGTGGCTGCTTTTTCACTTATAGTATTGTAATCTTTTGTTTTTTTGATTAGAGAAACAATCGATATATCAGGCAGCAAAAAGCGGGCAGAAGGGCCTTAGTAATAAGAGGATAAGTTTGAAGCGTCAATCATCAAAGCTCGAGGCCGACAGAACGAGATGAACTTTTCCGAATCAATTTGAAGGGTGTGTTTTTATTATTTGTATTCACAGCGTGTTGATGCCAACTTGATGGTTGCCTTTGTTTTTCTGTTTATTTTGGGTGATAGTATCATGTTTTTATGATTCAATTTCGACGGTAGCAACATTTAGACTTTTCGCTTATATTACAAAATAATACAGACCCATCTGTTTGAAATCAAATATAATAAAACCTATAGATGCTTACCAAATTAATTAAATGACAGGGGACTGTTTTAAGATTGATCATAAATAATTATTTACAACTTTGTTATCTCTTCTGTATAGGTAGTAAGTTAAAGAAAGTCTATATTTTTTAAAATTATTTCTTTTAGGCATCACACAAAACTCACAACCAATAGGTTTATATATAAAGCTGTATCTATGCAGTTAACAATGAAAACTGCAAAACCATCACTTTTTAAACCAGTTTATTAATTAACGTTAATTTACCAGCGAGTTAAAATATATTTGGTAACATATAATTTGTTGGTTAAAAAAAATATCCAAATTAAGTCTTAACCATTTTCAACTTTTAAACTTCTCAAATCCTAAAACTAGTTAAATATTAGGTTTAATTATAGACAATTTAAACTCTTGTGTTTTACGTTGCAAGGAAAAAACTAAAATACTTTTCAGTACTCGATTTCGATTGATTATTTCTTATATCATTGATTAAGAAACTCAACGCTTAAATGCTTATATAGTTACGTTAGTGTGTGTATTTTATCTAAGGGATCATGGTGAATTATTGTGTTTTTAATTGCAAATAAAATTCAAGAACTAAATCGTTGCATTTTCATGTTTTGCCAAAGGATCCAATTCGGTAAGTACATTTGTTGGTGCAGAATTAACTAATGATAACTTTACCTAATATAATTTGGACATTTTTAAGAAATTTGTAAAAATTAATTTTTGCACAAACATAACCTTAAAATCAACCATTTTTATGTTTGAGTTCTCTAAAAAAACGCCGACAACTGCATTTTAAACAACAAAATATACCTACGAATTCATGGCAATATAATATTATATATAATACATAATATAATGGTATTTTACCGTTGAGTGGAGACTTTCTTAATCAAAGCTATTAATAATGCTAAATGCTGTTTAAATTTAGACGACTTATTTGTTTGACGATTTTTACGGAATTGAAATGTACACTTTTCACGTTAATCACTACTAAAATGTGTATTTATTGTATCTTATAGATACAATTTATATTAACAGGGACTGTATGAAATTTATTTCTTCAACCCAGGATTTCCTCTCGTATTACACCCAACAACACAACAAATCGAGCCACGGTTTTTTTCCGATATTTTTTTAACATTTTCCGGCTTTATTCTCAAAAACACTCGTTTGTAACATAAGCGTTACTAGCGATACTTCTTTAGCGCAAGAAAAAAAGGACAACTAACGACTGACAGACCACCAAACAAAAAATTAAAGAAACCTCGAAATAAATTGCTTGATGGTCCACGAAACGATATGTTAATGATTTTTTATACATGCCAATGGGTTTGAGCTTCAGTTTTTGCCCTGATAATTCTCCAGACCGACTCAAAACGTTTCAAATGGACGATGCGACTTTTTTGTTCAGCGTCTGACATTTATTTTCGTTGTATTATTTTAAAGTAAAAAAATACATTCAATATTTGATGAATAGGCTTTTCTTTCACATTATTTTTCATTACCAAACTTAATAATTATAAATTCAATTAACACAAATGTTAAGCTTTGACGTAGGTTAGGCTATCAAATACTCCAATAAACATATTTAAATGCAAAACTAAACTAATTGGACTCGATTACTAAACAAATTTAAATATCATTTACTGTTTCGGAATTTTTAAAACACGTCAATGCCTAATTAGTAGCAACGTGCATGCATAGACAATAAAATCTATTAATAAAGGCATTTTAAATAAAATTGTTGACATTATTAATTAAAAATGAATTTATTACCAATATTATCACCAAAATAAAAATAAATAAGCAGTGAAAATCTTAAACATGTTTAGTAAAATTACAATAAAAAATTTTAACAGTGTATTTACTTCTTATTAAACCATTACCAGGGTATTTTTGTATAGTTCTTAAAATAAAAATTAAACACAGTCTTAATGGCGTATTGTTCAGCCTAATAACATTAGCTAATGAAATAAAAACTTTGAGATGTTCTTTCCAGTTTGGAAACTAGTCAGGACAGCTACATTGTATATATAGTGAGAAACTTTTTCGATATGCACTTTGCGAAATTTGCGAAAAATCAGATTCGAAACTTTAATAGGATTCGTATAGTATGGAAGTATAATTATTGAAAATGTTGCACGAAACTTTTCGTATCTAGAACAAATTTGCTTGACAAAGTTCGCCTAATCAAAACTCCTTAATAAGTTTTGCCTTTTGCTTGCGTACAAATATTCAGTGTTTTAACTAGTTTGTCAATTTTAATTTGTAAAATATTAACATAATTTTTTTAATTATTTTAACAAAGTTTTGTAAAGGTAATATGCCATTTTGTAAGCATTTTGTTAATTTATTATTATCGGATATAAGAATTGTCTGTTAAATTTTGGTATACCATGGTACCAGTGAAAAAGCAGCTATATATGCTAATATACTAATAACTATTAAATTAGTCATCTTTGACTAATTTATTTTTAGAGGGCGGAGCTCCATTTATACAAAAATACCGACTGCAAATGTCAAATTTTTCTGTGTACATCAAAATTTATTCCTTGAAAATGGACTAACAACCGTTTTGATCCGATATAGAAGCAGTTTTTCACAGTGAAAACTCAATTAGTACTTTTGAATTTGTGCATTAAGATAATGCAATAATTTTCACATTAAGTATTATTTCACAAAAAAATAACTTAACGATTAGAGTAGAAAAAATAATTTATCTTACCTCTTCATAAAATCTAAGCTGTGGAACATCTTCCTCGGAAAGGTTTTCACAAAAATCCTTAAATAATAAATAACCTGCAAAAAAAAAATACGTTAACAAAATTACAAAAATATGCATCGTCTTAATAAGAAAACCAAAATACTTAAACACAACCGTGACGCTACAACATGTGCATGTACTTATATTATAAAACACCATTTTCATAATAACACGGTGAAATTTGCATATCTTAAAGAAGTATCGGGTTTTCGCAACGCGCGCGCCATCTGGTGGACTTTCGAATGCATTGCGTGAATTTAAGAATTGTCAACAATACATTTAAAGCATACGGACTCTACATCATTTTTAAATAAATAGGTAGTTTTTTCACAAAAGAGAGTCTTACTCGACAAATTTCATTCAATTGCACAGCTAAATCGCGCACGTTATTTGTGTTTTACGTTGCAAGGAAAAACTAAAAAACTGGTTTAGTACTCGATTTCGATTGATTATTCTTTATATCATTGATTAAGAAACTCAACGTTTAAATGCTTATATAGTTACGTTAGTGTGTGTATTTTATATCAGGGATCATGGTGAATTATTGTGTTTTAATTGTAAATAAAATTCAAGAACTAAATCGTTGCATTTTCATGTTTTGCCAAAGGATCCAATTCGGTAAGTACATTTGTTGGTGCAGAATTAACTAATGATAACTTTACCTAATATAGTTTATATTTAAGATTGGACATTTTTAAGAAATTAGTCAAAAATAATTTTTCACAAACATAACCTTAAAATCAACCATTTTTATATTTGAGTTCTCTAAAAAACGCCGACAACTGCATTTTAAACAACAAAATATACCTACGAATTCATGGCAACATAAAATTATATATAATACATAATATAATGGTATTTTACCGTTGAGTGGGGACTTTCTTAATCAACGCTTTTAATAATGCTAAATGTTGTTTAAATTTAGACGATTATTACTGAATTGAAATGTTTACACTTTTCACGTTAATCATTACTAAAATGTGTATTTATTGTATCTAATAGATACAATTTATATTTACAGGGACTGTATGAAATTTATTTCTTCATTCGGACTGTTTATTGGAAAACCGGTAAAAACTCAACCCAGGATTTCCTCTGGAAATACACCCAACAACACAACAAATCGAGCCACGGTTTTTTTCGATAATTTTTTAACATTTTCCGGCTTTATTCTCAAAAACACTCGTTTGTAACATAAGCGTTTGGCAGCTGATTATTAAAAGTTGTACTTTTGTTACGATGATAACAGCCGAGTGGTGGCGCTACTAGGATACTTCTTTACACTTAAACAGCAAACTTTTGTTGAGGTTTTTGACCAACTATTTTTTTATAGGAAGTGATGCGGTTATTGACGTCAATACAAACATATAAATAAAATAATAAACAAACCACAAAATCAACTGATTTGATGATTTTTCCTTGAAACAATGGGCAAGTTTGTAACACCACGTGCAGCTGTAATAAGTGATAAATTATTTTGGAGTAGGTTACAAAGTTATTGGAAACTACAGTTAAGGCGTCATTTAATGAAAATTTGATGAAACATGTTCTCCATTTAACTAGAAAATTGTTTTTCTGTTTTCACAATTTTATTCAGAAGAAAAAATGCCACCAATTTGATAATTTAACCGACTTTGAAGCTCCAATAATAACAAAGTTTTTTTTTCATTATACTTCTGTTTTGTTTTGGTGGGCCACCCTGTATAAAGCACTAATTTTTAATTTGTTTCGCATAATCAAAAGTTCATTAAAAATACTCCTTAAATAAATTTGACGTTTACAAAAAAAAAGTTTGGAAAGTTATTGGTATCATAAATTTCGTGTTCTGGTAAATTTGTTTGTGCAGGAAAAGTTTTGCTCCGTGTTGAGGATAATTTATCTAAAGACGGCGCGTTTATTTTGCTACATTGTCACAGTGGCGGCTCGTCAGGGGAATCTGTGTTTCACCGTCAAATGTCAAATTTTATAAACACAGATTATAAAGGTTATAAATCGAAATGTTTTTCTTGAAAATTGACAGTTTTTCACAGTGAAAGTAAAGAAAATGTTTTATGAGCACTTTACAGTGGAGTCCGTGCCCGAATTTAAGTTATAGTTTACTGCCGGCGAAATTAAAAGGTCAGTACAATGTTCATATAAACTTTTCAAATATTGGCGTTGAGAAACTATTTAATACTTTTGTATTTTTTTATTGAGATAATAAAATAATTTTCACATTTAGTATTATTTTACAAGAAAGGCACTTTATTTTAACGATTGTATGACATTTGGCAAACTGTCAACTAACTTAAAACTAACTTCAGCCCGTGACTAAAAACCTGTTGCTAACTTCAGACCGTGACTAAAGCGCCATAGAATAGTAGTTTTTATAGCAGTTTTTATTAAGCAACAAGACGTATTGGGTTTCAATTAAGGTTAGGTTTTCAAAATCCCAGTAAGTTTTCTTCAGTTAAATATTTCTGTTTTTTGTAAAAAGGTCAACTAGCCGCCACTGCATTGTCAGTGAACTTTTAATGTGGGCCCTGAAATATTCTTTCAACAACAAAGTGATTTTGGACAATCAAAACAAATTCTCTGAGTTATTACGTATAATGAAAAAATTATAATTTTTAAAAACAACATAAAACATTCTGTGAATTTTTTTTTTATACAATGCATTGCAATGGTTGGTTTTAGGAATTTTAATTACGCATTCTTCAACTTTCTAAACAAAAATAACGTACATGTAAAACCTACATAATATTTTCTGGTTTTATATGCAGAAATTTAAATAACAGAAGCCAGAAATTTTTTTAATTAAGGTACAAATTAACCTATGATTGTAAATTATGATAGTGATAAAATATGCCCAATTTTGTTGACTAACATAAAAAAAAATTAATATACCCCATCGAAACGTAAGAAGATAAGACAAGTAAATATTTAATATAAAATGCAAGTAATATTTACAAACGATATGTAGTAATTTTTCCGAAGTAAATATTGATACCCCGTATTAATTCAATGTAATTAGACGTACCCTTGTTGGTGAGGTATTAATGCCGGGCATGTTGTTAACTATATTATCCTTTACATGGGAAACTTATTAAGATGAAAATTTAATTATAGCTTGTCTGCAGCATGCCTTTAATATTTATTTTTATGCATGAAACGCTGTCGAAAACAAACAAGAAAAATAATCATGTTTCAAGTTAGCTGGGCATTTAACTTTTCACTGCAAAAATATGTCCAAAAGGGCATTTTTTGCCACATTTTCAAGGCATGCCTACTGCACTAATGTTAGTAATCTATCTTTATCCATTGCAGAAAATAAATCCTAGAATATTGGTTTTTAGGCAAAAAATAAAACATGTAAGTATGTAATAATAATGATTTATTATACTACAATATAATTTTAAAAAAAGGTCAGCAATGAAGCATTGGAATTCACTAAAATTGCACAGTCCAGTCTTTTTTAAAAAATTAGCGAATTAGAAGAATAACATTTATACGAGGTGTGTTCAGAAAATTTAGGGAATTTTCGTTTTTTGAAACAAATATTTATTTATTCGTCTACATTAATGTTGTCGCCTTCAAAATAGTCCCCACTGGATATTATGCACATGTGCCAGCTCTTCTTCCAATACTCGAAACACTTCTAAAACTCGATCTTTGGGATAGCCTTTAGTTCTTTTAGAGATGCGCTTTTAATGTTATCTATACTTGCAAAACCACGGCTCTTTAAAGTTCTTTTTATTTTAGGAAATAGGAAAAAGTCAGACAGAGGCATGTCTGGCGAATATGGAGGCTGGGGCATCATTATAGTATTGTTTTTGGCCAAAAATTTTGTTCAAAATTTAACAATTTTAGAACAAATTTTGCTGCCACGCGTTTCATACCCAAAACATTCGAAAAAATTTCATGGGATGAGCCAATCGATATACCAACATCATCAGCGACTTCTCTGATGGTTTATAACCATTTCTTCCACTTTTTCCATGTTTTTATCGGTTGTTAATGTGCTTGTGCGTTCGGGGCGTTCGTCATCTTCAACGTCTTCACGGCCATCTTGGAAACTCTTATACCACTTGTAAACTCTTGTTTTACTTATAGCAGACTTACTATAGGCCTTTGTTAACATTTTACAGAATTTATTTCATTTTTTAAGCAAAATTGGATACAAATTCTTTGATCCATTTCTTTTAACGAACGAAAAATCGCCGAGCTCATAAAACACGTCTAACCTTAGCGGCTGCCACAGACAAAGTAAACAATGAAAACAGCTAAAGTTTTTATCATAGTTCGGGGGCATGTATACCAACATAATAAAGAAAATTTTATGACAACCGGACCCTCCGAACCCGCGAAATTTAACAATTCCCGTTATTTTTTGAACACATCTCGTATATCATTTATGTTATAAACTTACGCGTCTGTATCTTATGATGTCTCAAGACTTACGAATACAATTTGCTTATTTATGCTTTTTTATTTTATTGTACTTTTGTTAAAATTATTTTGTCCTCCTGTTTTTTTACTGATGTTTTTACGACAACGAAATTAGATTTTTCTCTCCCTTTTGACAGTTCACATCACAGTCGGTTACACCTGTGTAACCGTTATCAGAAGACCGCAGTCAATGATATCAGCCTTTGTGCCGCGACAGTCTTTTGTCTTTCCAACGCCGACTGCGCCACTATGATAATAAAAAACGTCTACAATGTTTTTTTCAAAGTTACTTTTGGTAAGAAAAACGAGATTAAAATGCTGAACAGAGGATTAAAAAACATAAATCTAAAATATTAATGAAAAAATCTGTTTATCTAATTATTTCCTAAATATCGTCAAAATGCATATTCCGGGACGTTATCATTTGGTATTCAACGTATTCACTGAGCGTGGGTGGCATGTTAATTATAATTATCAGCTTGTCAGGGTCCATTGTCATGGTTTTTATTTTTGCGGAAATAATCTGCACATTTCATTCATGCCCAGGACACATATGCGTATACATAGGGGTGTTATCTTATTTATTATATCTCTGTTTACTTACATG